ATGTTTTAGTTATGTTGTCGTTCAGAGGCCGTCGTCGTTGATACGTTGATGGTATTTGTACTGCAAAAGTCCATTGGTTCTGTTGAAACGTAGTGAGGTGCCTGTAATAAAAAAAACGTTTTAAAATACAATTCAAATAAAACATTGTTTTAGAAAAAGTATAATTGAAACGTCATAGTAACGATTTCCGCCAAACACGACGATAATGGGGTTCCATTTTCTAAATTTCAATGCAATTGCTGTTCGTGACAAGGATCCTGGGTAAACTATAGCTTTTAACACATTCATCTTGAATAAAGAATGTCTAAAATCATCGTCTAGACCAGTGGTTCTTAACGTAAGTGCCGTATTTAGAAAGTCATCACACGCCGTACCATCACCACATTCACAAGCCGACTGCTGGGCAAAGATATAGAAATAAAAAGAATGTTCGTCACGGAATGTAAACACAATCAACGCGCACCAGTAACATATGTGTCTTGTGACCTCGAGGGTTCCACGATATAAAATATCAGTCACGTTACCGATATCTGTTATCTCGCTTTGATGCAATTTATTACTTAGAAATAACTATGTTGGCTAAGAACCAGGTCAGAAATACTACCGACACACATGCCGGGAATACTTATTCCCTAGACCACTCCGTATTCGGGTCATTCGTTAATGGCATCATATTCCAAGGAGGGAAGGCAAGCCTGACGCTTCGGGTAATAGTGTCATAACAGAGTATCAAATAGCATACTTGTTGAAATTATTTCAACGACGCCATGGCTGTATATTAAGCAAAAGAGATCCATATATAAATAAATAAATAAATAAATATATATATATATATATATATATATATATATATATATATATATATATATATATATATATATATATATATATTAGAGTATATATACTATATTTTTAACATGGTTTAATGTACCTTGTTCATGGGGGTGAAAAAGTATGTCTTAAATAATTATTTTAGTAAACGTAGATTAAAAAAAAACGTTAATGGGTATTACAAGCCTACACGTTCTACTTACAATTCTCGTCATGTCCTTAAATTTTAACTTCTCCGTTTGATCAGCTCATTATATATCTACCAAGATCATCGAAATGTCTTTACAATTTCAAGAATGCACTGAAACGATTGAGCAAAACAAAACATTCTGCACATTCAAGCTGAATTGGTAGCATCTGAGTTATTTCTGAAAAATAACACGCTGCGTTTAAAAGGACACCTTGCGCATTCACCCGGGTTGTATAATGCTCTATTTTTATCCCTTAGTAGCGGTTCTCAAAATAATTTTCTCTGTCCCGTACAACTTGTTTCTTCTTTCAGTTAGTTAAAATCTCTTGTCTTAATCAAATTTTTCCAAACTATCTGAGAAAAAAAAAATTGTTATCGTTGGATACGTTTTTATTGTAACGATATAATCAAGCGAATCGATTCCACGGGTATAAAACGCTTAGATTATTAGAATTATAAAATGTATGCCTCAGTATTATTATTTTTAATCTTATCATATTCACGAGCCGACCCGCGGCGTAGCATACACCGCCATTTATTGGTTTTATCCTCTACTTTTAAGTAATTCATAATTTGCGAATTCGACACTACCAATGCTGCCACTGAAAATATTTTGCTTTAAAGCACTATCAGTAGCTCGTGGAAGGCGATTATCCTTCCCCCCCCCCCCCCCACCCCCTCCGTGAAAGCAGCAGTGCGTGACGACAGTTTACAGACGACAATGAAAAGACCAAGCAAAACTTGTTACCTCTCAATACTTTCAAATGGTTTAAAAATATTTTTTCTGCCTTAATAGGCGTCACTAATTCAACCCGGCTCTACGATTGTAAACATTTGGCGTGAACCACAGCTCACCAGACTGGTGTGGGTGAGTGTGATAGCGATATGGTATGTTGCTCATGCATGAAGAGCGAGGGACGTGAGGAGGGGTAGATAGTCGGCTTGCGTGCGTGGTGGTGTCTACGTAGAGAATTATATAAATAGAAGATATTTATATTTCTTCAGTTTTTTCTTTGTTATATTTTTGTATCATTTTTGTTTATTCCCAAAATATTTTTGGGTCGAATTAGATCATTTGCAGACCCATTGTAGATAGTCCAGACCGTGTTATCAGTATTCGTTCTTTGTGCATTCATGCATAGCTGTATGAAATGTTTTGTAATTGTGAGATAGGTGAAATGTAATCTTTTGAAGCAATCACAAAAACGCACGGCATGTGACGGCGTGGCCCTGCGGTAGAGCGCTAGACTGCTAACCCGAATCCGAACGTCCCTGAGTCCACCCAGCTCTGATGGGTAGGTTACTTAACACGTTCATATGCCCAGGTCTCTGAAGCAGATGACCCCCCAAATCATCTGCTCCGCGTCTCTTTGGCACGAACGGAAAATGAAGATGATGATGACAAAAACGCACAGACGCGGTCATACACGTAAACACAGACGCATACACATATACATTCAGAGCACAAGCACACACACGCACAAATAGACCTTCACACTCAAATCAATAAACAACTTTGTGTACATTTCATTTTAGGCACGCTTTTCAGGCGATCAGATAAGAAACCTACTTACTTTATTGCACGGGTTCCCAAACTGGGGGTCGCGACCCCCCCCCCCCGGGGGTTGCGAAGGGCTTTATGAGGGGGGGGGGTCGCCAACTGGTATACTAAACCTTAGCAATGAAAAACAAAACATAAATATTTAGAAAAAATATCTTGGCTTTACTGACATCACTGGTAATGGAATAGAGAAAGAGCAATCCGTACTGTGCAAACTTGTTCTTAGTCATGAGTCTGTGAAACCTTCCAAACTAAAACGTCATTTTGTGACGAGTCATTCGGAACACACCAAAAAAAGATAAGGAGTTTTTCGTCCGCGTGAAGCTAGTTGCAAACGTCAGAGACTTGATTGAACACAAAGTTTTCACCAAGGAAACACAGCATTAATGAAAGCATCAAATGAAGTCACGATAGAAAATGCCAAGCAAAAAAATAAAAAACCCAACACAATAGGATCAAAATCTCATCAAACCCGGCATGTTGAAGATGGTGAAGTTAATTTTTGGGGATTCCAGTGCAGTAAAGATGCAACAAATATCTCTGTCTAATAATACTATTCAGCGGCTTATAGCAGATATGTCCGTAGATGTTAAATAACACATTTTATTGAAAACAAGCGTTCACAATTGTTTGCTCTTCAAGTTGATAAATCAACAGACGTGAGTTTGTGTTCGCAGTTGCTTGTCTTTTTTATATTCATTCAGATGATAGCAAAGAAGAGTTGCTATTTTTTAAATATAGCATGGGAAAATAAATACGTTTTTTGAAACTGGATGATTAAAACACTGCATGATTCACCAGTATGCCCTCGCCATCAAAACGCTTTCGACTCCATTGCTAGTAAAAGTTGTAAATTATATTAAATCTGGGGCCTTCAAAAAACTGAGCAACGACATTAATATAGATCACGAGGTTTTGCTTTTCTACACTACAGTACGCTGGCTGTCAAACAAAATGTTAATCGTGTTTTTTAATTGAAATCTGAAATCAAATTGTTCTTGGAAGTGCAAAAGAAACAAGACATTTTGGTATACTTAAAACGACAAAGAGTAGTTGGAGAGAGTATCTTACCTAGCAGATATATTCGAACATCAACATAAGCTTAGCCTGAAGCTTCAGGGAAAATGAACGAATGTTATCTCTTTTCGTGATAATCTCGGGACATTTTTATCAAAGCTGCAAAATTGGCGAAGAAAATAAATCTTGGAAATATTGAAAATTTGAGAAACTCTGCAGTGTGGTAGATGAATCTGATTGTGAGATAATTAAAATTTTGAAAGAAGCAATTTCTGGGCATCTTGAATCTCTTGATAACGAACTGCGGCGCTATTTCTCTGAAAGTAGAATCTGCATTGACGTATTACCCATTCTCTTCTTCCCTTGATGTTGCCAGCTTTCCCGATGAATTACAAGTTGAATTCTTTAATTTGCAGAATGATTCCGCGTTAGACGAAAAACTGCAGGCACAATTTTGGTGTAGTATTCACCATTCATACCCAAACGTAAAATTGACTTTTCTAGAATAGATTTTCGACACTATTCTCCGATTAAAAACAAAATTAAGAAATAAATTGAATGTTGATAATGACATAGGTTGGCGTTAACAAAAACTTAACAGCGAATGTTTAGTAAATAGCATGCAATTTTACTCATCGTATTAAAACAGTTATCAAGAGTAGTTAATATTGAAAGTCTCCTAGAACATCTTATTTTAGTGCTTATTAATTTGCATACTAATATCGGCTTTTTAATTCTAATGGGGTCGCGGGACACTTTCGGCCGCTGTGTCTGGCTCGATATATGATTATAATTCCAGCAGAGTTCTGTTCTACATGTAAGGGGTGGGGGAATGACCATGGATTGGGTGTTGATTTATAGACAGTTATGTCCCAGACCCGTCTCAAATAATCTTAAAAAATCTGACATCTAGTGTTCTAGGCTGTTTAATGTTGTAGAGTGACCTCCTTCCAAAGAGAAAATATTAAATGCCACTTGCCAGGAGTCGCAACCAGTCCAGCCTACCGACTTTTCTGGAATATTCCTCTTTCAGCGCCATGAAATTTAGCGTATTTTTTTTTAATGTGGGGACATGTTTTCAATATACTGGTTTAGAAGCCGGTCTTAATATTGCACACGTCCCCCCCCCCCCCCCCAAATCGCTTCACCGCCACAAAGCTTTACTTCTTCCTTTGATATTTTAAGTAAATGTTACTTTTGGTTTGTAGTTAATACACCTCAAATAATTAAAATGTTTATTCTTGATACAAGCAAGCTTTTTAAATCAACCAACATGTAAAGTAAAACAAACAAAAAATATATATGTAAATATGATGTAATATAAATTATCAGTATGGGTGGTTTTTTCATCACACAAAAACGAAAGTACAAATAAGTGTAAAAATCACAGCAGGCCTATTTGATTACTTAAAATGTATGTTAAAATAAAGCATATAGTATGAAAAGGTAACAAAAAACCATTGTAAAATAAAAAGTAGTTCAGAAAAAATATTGCCTATACTAATAAATTGTTAGTTATTATTTAGTAAACTTGGTTTCTTTATTGTTTTACTTTTGTAGACCATTAAGTTAAATATTTTTAAAAATTTTAATCAGTCAATTAATTTCAAGTTGTTACAAATACACACAATTTTAATAAGAAAATCGTTTTTGTTAAATTCTAAATTTTTGTTTATTTTAGTTATTAAAGGGATTATATGATAAAAATTAAATCCATGGCTTTTAAATTAACATTGCTATAGTTTCAAGAAATTTTGGATTAAAATAATTCTAAAATTAGTTTTCTTGCCCCATATCCTCCAATTTTTATTTAATAGGTGGAAACTATGGTTGGTGGATTGGATCTGAATCTTCAGACTGCTGAAAAATTGGTTTGCTTTGGTTTTGATTCTAATTATTGATTGGTAATGAACATTTTGCTTAAACATACCAGTTAAATGTCTAAAAATAAAACTACTCAAATATTACTATTTTTTTAATAGAAAATTACAAATTCCACTATCAATTACACATTTTATTTTTAATGTAAGTAAATAAGTATTAACATTGTTTTTAAAATAAAATCTCATATTGATAATTTACAAATTTAATACTTCTTTGGTAATACAATTTAGATAATTAAATCACAGAAGAATTAAATATAACAAGATAAAGGCTACATTCTTTGGTGATTAAACCCTCTTGATATCTCTTTTAGCATCCTCTTTAACTTTGTAAAGCATCAGCTGCATGCAGGCCACAGCATCTTCTTTACTGTCGTGACCTTCATCAGAAAATAAAGTTGTAAGAAAATAAAAACTAGTCAACATTGCAAAAAATTAATTCCTTTAATTAATTTATGACATAACATTTTATAATGTGGTTTAGGAAAATATTCACATACTCATATTGGGTGTTTTCTAGTTTTATGTTTAACCAATTGGAGGACATTGTTTCTGAATCATATACCATCTAATGTATTGAAGTGACAAATAACAGACTACTTACCATCTGCTTGAATACTTTTGTGTAGCTTTTCTTCAACAAGGTTCTTCAGGGATCTCTTGAAGGTTAAACCTCGTGGGGGTTGGAAGGCAAGGGATGTGTCCACAACTGTACTGTGTATCAACTAGTGTAGAAGGAAAATAAGAGAATCATCAGATTGTAATGGATACTTGCTATAGTTGCTGATTGTTTCACTCTATAATCACTAGTCATATACAGTGAATGAAACCAAGTTAAAATTTACGGACAGGTCGAGTTTATATTTAATGGGAATATTAATATTTGTAATTGTTGCTAATTATTTCACCCTATAATTTGTATTTACATTGAATTAAACCAAGTTACTATAAAATGGACTAGTCATATACATTGAATGAAACCAAGGTTAAGTTAATGGACAGATCGAGTTCATATTTTTATGGGAATATTAATATTTGTTATTGTTGCTAATTATTTCACTCTATAATTAATATTTTCACTAAATTACATTAAGCAACGATAAAATGGACAGTTTGAGTATACCTAGAGGTAGCAGAATTTAACTTAAATTAAGTGATTGTATGATCTCTATAACTTTTTACCACCTTTTCTTTTCCTATATTATACCAGGTGAGTTACTAAGCTTGGTGGACTCAATAATATTTTTAAAAATCAAGATAGGAACTAACTTTAAGAATTAGTACTTTGGTCAACATTTATGTTCAATGATACAATCTGAGTGAGAGATACCTTAAGGGCAACAAAATCACTCTCCAGACTATGACCAATGAGGATAGTTTTATCTGATATCATGGTCAACATGTCAGCCTGGACATCATGTAGAGCAGTTGTTGCCCCTGTCATATCTGCTGCTGTGAGACCACTGAACCTGAGGTCAACAGAATAAATTAGCTTACCATTACATGCAAGGTGTGTTTGGTGGTATCCAAAAACCAAAAAAAATAGTTGATAGGGTTTATAAGATTAACTTCCTTATAAGATATTATTCAGCTCTTTAACTTAAATATGTTTTGCGTTTGGAAGTCTCATAGTAAATTTTTAAAAAATATGATAACATCATTAGTGTGCAGTATAAAACAGAGATTTATAAAAAAAAATTGTAATGGTGTCTCTAAATTTCGTGATATAAGAAATTTATTAACTGGCAAGTTGAAAGAAGAAGTTTTTGTGTTTTATAAGAGATAGTCTAGTTATTAGATTTAAAAAAAAATAATTTGCAAGCAATGAATATTATTTTTTCACTTTAGTCTTGGTACAGTCTTCGCCATAAATATTAGAGTTTACAAAACACAGAGCACTAGAAACAGTGTCTGGTTTCATCCATCATAACTTGCATAACAGTTTACCTTGTGTTGTAGTCAATGATGTCTGTGTATGGCTTCACCAGCTTCTCATAAACTATTTCACAGTCCTCACCAATGATAGTCACACGAGCCAATTCCATTCCAGCTTTTGTGTAAACCTGTTCCAAAGTAGGATGCGAAAAGATATCAAACAAACAAACAATATGAAATCTTGTACAATGATAGAGGGTATTAGACCAAATTTTAGAAAAGTGGCACAAGAAATTGCATTATCATGTGAATGTTTATTCCTTTATTTAATTAATTTTCTTAGTAAAACATTTTTCAAGAACATTGTTTTTTAATAAGTAATCAAATAATAAATACATCAAATGAGAATGGAGATATAGCATAAGCAATGATTTTAAAAAATAAATAAGATAGAATGCCATTTAACTTCTGAACAACCAGGAACAGCAACTACAGTTTCTGTATTCTATTAATCCTTTTTACCTCCCTTGCCTTAAGTTACTCTTTGAGAAATAGACCTATTTAAGTTGTATATTAACTTTCCTCAAGTGAGCCATAGTGTTATTTAAAATCTACCACATAGGCCAAGATTTTATTTGTGATGTTAAAAAAACATTCTACAATGATCAGGTGATCCTGCATATGAATTTACAAACCATAAACACTACATTTAAAAAAAAAAATTATGATTGGGGGAAGTTTTACTATAAAGAATCAACATGATCCAAAAAGGGTCTTCTTCTTCTTCTTCGTTCTTAATTATTAGTGTTGAAGGGGATCGAGATTTATCTGCCAGTGGGTTTGAACTCGAGACTTTGTTCGAATTTATCAACCATGAGCTTTTTGCCGACTCGACCACGCCTCCAACACAATTAAGCGTTACGTGTCAATTGGTTATGCGCCATTGAGGCCATTGACTCCGATTTCAGCCTGCTTTTCTTTTTGGATTTGCTTCCATAGCCTTTGTCCAACCAAGAACAAACTACAAGGCAGCAGTTGTTTAATTTTGGAGTTGTCTCTCCTAGAAGAGTGGCTGTCCCCAGCTAACGAGCCTCATCTGCCCGAGATAAGGGTCTAAATTTACAAGATAAAAAGCTTTTCATAAAATAAGTTCATTCTAAAACAAATATTATTTATAATATAATATCATTTACTATTAGTGTAAATAAAAAATAAAAGAAATATAGAAATGTTCTGATTTGGTTACAGCCTTTTATACCAACATTATAAACATGTTTAGTAAAATAAAATTTCTTTATATGTAAATATTTCTTTTCCATTTCCATTTACCATTTCACAGTCAAGAGAATATATGTGATGGTCTTGCCCAGGGCGAGTTTTCACATAACCGGTCAAATCATCTGTTTTGTTGCTGTCATGAACATGGTTCTAACAGGAACAAAAGAAAAAAAAAGTTTGAACACAAAACTATTGAAACAAATATTTTTTTAGAAACGTGATTGATTTCAATTGATGATAGTAATGATGTTAAAATTACTAATGAATTGATCATGCCCTCTCTAATATTTTAAAAAGTTATGTACAAATATGTTAATGATTGAAGAAAATATAACAATTATGTGTTTTGTTCCACATTTAAAATTATATTATAATGAAATGGGATAAATATCAAATATATAAAAAAATAAACATAAGAGTAATGTGATAAAAAAAAAAAAGAAGAAAAAATATTACTTCAGCCACTTGACATCCACTGCTTCCAACTTTAGCATTGCAGCAAGGATAAAGGTAGACTGAGGAACCTGTCAACCAAATTTACAGCTACTTAGATAATTCAGGTTGATTAATTAGCAGAAAACTAATATTTTAAAGTGATTTTTTTCAATTAAGATTCATAGAAGAAAACATTTTCTTTTAGTGTTTTTGTCATTTGTAATTTGAAGTAGTAAAGCTAATTTATGACCCAGAATAAATAATGCAAGTTTTTTTAATTGTGTGGGGAAAACTATTTTGATATTGTCAGAAAAATTTTGTAAAGTCATTCAAACAGTTAAGAATAAATATTGTTTGACATAAAAAAATCTACATGTAAAACTGCAATTTTTATTTTTTAGTAAACTTGTAATAGAGAGATATCTATACACCCAATCCACTTCCAGGGTTTATAAATCACCTCTCTGTTTGCGAGCATTGCTAAAGTGGTATATACACCTCTCTACAGTAGCTGGGCTGCCATCTAATGCTATAGCGTATCTTTTGCCACAACGCGTGCAGGTTCTTTCATTTTCTACAAGGATAAAAATATCAGTTATTTTAAAATAAGATTCTTACACATATAAGCATCATTACTCAACTAAGAATCATAATTTTTATCTTTTCTTTTAACAAATGAATTACATTTTTTTGCTAATTAATACTGTTTAAATAGCAAGTACGGTTTACATAATTACAATGTCATTTTATTTCTCTAACCTTTCAAAAGATTATCTTTAAATTCTTCTTTATAAAACACAACTTTACTGCTGCCATCTTCACATGGACGTGGGTAGCCATTGGCACGTAGCTGCTCCTCTGTCAGAATATACTTGCTTAGTCTGTCATACAACTCTTTACCTAAAAACATTTTAACATTGTGTAATTAATTGAGAAATTGTGTTAATAAAAAAATCAACATTAGGAATGGGCCTAAGCAAATATTTCAAGCAAGATTTGAAAAAAAATATTGCTTATAAGAATTTTTTTTAGTGAATGGTATTCATATGAAAAAAATTATATACAATTAATTAAGGTATGCAAATTGTAAAAAATAATATGTTTAAGTTGTATTGATATTTAATATCATACTTAGAAATGTGTGGATATTGTGTATCACACATGTAAAAGGTGTGGATATTGTGTATCCGACAATTGAAAGGTGTGGATGTTGTATATCATACCTGTGAAAGGTGTGGATATTGTATATCATACATGTGAAAGGTGTGGATATTGTATAACATACCTGTGAAATTTGTCAAGCTCTCACTATCTGAAAGCTGACACTGTGATTTAGAGACTGACATTTTTAACTCAGTACAGCAGAGATGTCACACTCACACAGCTTACAGGTGTGGGCAGGGTAACGGAGGTGATTCATTAACTTTCCTGGCAATCTCTGGAAGGGCTAAGTAAAGAAATTAATGTTTAGTATGTGTGTAAATAATCTTTTGAGGAGCTGGGTAATCAGTAATTAGGTTTGAAGTTTTATAGAAATGTTTTTATGTAATTAATAATTGTCCTGCAAGTAGATAGTAAATCAATTCACTAGAACGTAAATTTTTATTTAAAAAAAAAACCCAGTATTTTTGGTTTTGGCTTACTACTAGTAGATCTATACTGTATCAGATTGCTATAATAATGAATCAATGATGCTCCACAGATAGGCCAACAACTCTAGGTCCCTAGTAGTAGTAGAAGTAGGATAAGTCTAGACTCTCTAGGGTCTAGAGTCTAGGGGCTAGGGTATACTTCTACTATTAAATAATAAATATTAATAAATAACGCTTCATATCTAAATGTAAACCAAATAAAAGGCTTATCTTTCTACTTAATTTGACTTAAAATCTGCTTCATTTAGTTGTGTCTAAACTGCTGAATTTTAAAATCTAAAATAAAAATATAAAAGGATGGCAACATTTAATATAAAAAGTATCTTACCTGTTAAGCCTAATAAAAAGATGATGCATTCAAAGGGAAGTAACTGTATCCAAACGGACTTAACTCTTGACTGAGCTATTTAAAAAAAAAATATAGGCCTATATATTACTATATAATTATAATTATGTTACCTTTAAAATGTGTTTTATAACATATCCAGTCGACTGTTACCTATAGCGATTCACACAATTCACATATCAATCATAATACCTTGATAAGAAACCGAAACTAAAACTTACCAGAAACGCAGTAATTTTGGGAATTCCCTCTTTCTAGATCTCAATTGAAATTCTCGTACTGAGTAGTGGAATTTGAGTCATTTTCTGTTAAACGACAACTCCAGACGGTGTGACATTTTTTTTTTAATTTTAAAAATAATGTTAGAAACTGAATTTTAGCCGCTATTTCGCGTTTCTAAAAGGCTTTTCTTTATGAATTGTAATAGAAATGCATTAATATCCCCAATGTTAACTGAGCTAATAAATTAATATAGAAAGAACTAAAATGACTGGATTTTTTAAAATATAAATATTTTGAGGAGATTTGTAGGCTGACGTGTGACGTCATTTTTGGGATGGAATCTGGCTTTTTGTGAATATTTAACGGGGGGGGGGGGGGGCATTTTTTAAAAAATCGTGACGTCCTATTTGGATGACCCATTTATGAATCGTGCTCATAAAAAAATGATGCCCCCCCCCCCTTTTTTCCAGCCGAAGAGATGCAGGGGCGGAACTATAGTGCCGCCAGACCCCGCAATGCGGGGGGGGGGGGGGGGGGGGCACGACATTTAGGGGCCCACGGCCGAACATAAAAAAAATTTTATAGTTAAAAAAAAATAATTTTCTTGCATTTTTGACTTGATGTTTGTTTTGTAAAAAAGATTACCGTAGCTGCGGTTGGATTATCTTTATTCTATAGACACCACCCCACGCTCATTTTTCCTTCGTTTTTAAACCACTGTGAAAGCCGAGTCCTCTTTCTTCTACGATCAAACTTATCAAAGATAAGCTAACGTTCAAACCACTTCCATGACTTATTTCCCTTTTTCAAATAGTCAAATAGTGATGCTCATAAGCTCATTTTAATAGATTTGTACTAAACAAATTAAAAAGTAATTACTTCTCTTTATTATTTTTTGTTTATAAATTTCTTACTAAAGAATGACACTGTGTAAAAAGGAAATGTATTTAAAATTAGTAATATAAATACAAAAAAACATAAAAATAAACATGACACGAGACACCATTATTTACAGAAAGCTTTCATGTTTTATATTCTTTTGACCGATTAAAGGTTCGAAGTCTTACGGCAGAGATAATATAAAACTTATTTTCACTAAACAGACTAATGCACTTATACACATGACATGATGTCGTAATTTGTTTTAATTAAAAATAAACCCACGTATTTCTCAAAAACTCGAACAGGCCAGCAATGAGTATCCTATGTTCGTATTTTGTGTTTGTATATATATATATATATATATATATATATATATATATATATATATATATATATATATATATATATATATATATGCCTGTATATTTATATTGGGGGGGGGGGGGCTAAAAAAAATTTTGCGGGGTGGCCCTTTTTTTCTAGTTCCGCCACTGAAGAGATGCCTGAAAAAACTATGGGTGTTATAGATTGACGAGGAGCCACATTGGTGTTAACAGCCTTTTATTTACAGACAGCCATGATGCAAAGAGGGAGAGGAAGTACAATGCACAAGGGACATCACTCAAGATAACAATATAAATATAATACTAATACAGAAGAGTGAGTTCCCTTGACCTCACAATTATCTCAATCTATTACATCCCTTTACCCTTAGAACACAATAACACATCTCTCAATAGAACAATTGATAGTATCCTAAAATCACCAATTATATTGTAACATGAACACTATGGTAGATTACATCCTTACAAACAATGCACAATATGCTACAACATAATCAAGATACAAAACAATGATGTCAAAGTCCTTTTGACCTTTAAAATCATAGGTCTAACTTATTTGGGACTTTGATTGTCCTGCTTGACCTTCTCAGTGGCCTTTGATTTGGTGACTCAATATTCTGACCATCTGGATTCTCTATCTCAGGAGGTCTAGGATTTAAATCATTAACTCCAGAATTTACATTTTCTGACTCCAGACAACTTGGTTCACTCATATCAACAGAACTTGGTTGTGGAACAAACTGAGTTGGTGTGAACTGATCAGATTTGGTGGGATTGATAGATTCACACTTATTATCTGCACAAGTTATTTTTAACTGGTCTGCATGTCTACGGACAATAAGTCCATCATTTGTTTTTACTTTATAAGACACAGGTCCTGTACATCGAACAATTTGACCTGGTATCCATTTTTCCTTTCTCCCATAATTTCTTAGATACACATTCTCATTAACACCAAATATTATTTGTTCAATAGTTGGAGTAAAGGTAAGGAGCTGAGAAAACTCGATTGCTTTGTAATTAATTAATATTTTTTTTTAAATATAAAAGGCAAGAAAGAAACTAGTTCATATTAGTCAAAGGTGTACTGCTGGGAATAGTTTGTAACAGTATTTAAAAATATATAATTGAAATGCAAGTAGTGTTTTTATCCTTTAATTAAAACACATATTTAACTTAAACTAATACAAAATCCAGTTGTTATGCATAAGTTAGATACAAATATTATTTTAAAAGTTTAAAATTTATTAATAAAATACGATCACAAACTTATTTTTATATAACTTGTATTTTTAACGAATCTTATAAATTAATTACTGGTTGCCTCCCTTGTATTATATTAAAAATTCAACATTATTCTTTGTATTAAATGTTTAAAATTGTTCTCAACACTTAACACGTAAATTTTTAAGTGAGACGGCGTCACGAACATAAACATACATTAAAATGTAGACGTTCGTTCAAGTACTAAAAAAAAGAAAATGAGCATCCACTTTCTTTACCCTTAAATAATGCGCTTAATAGAACTTTAAAACATTTAAAACGTTAGACAACGTGATATATTCACATATGAGAGTTTTATTGTTTAATAAAGAAGCTAAATTTAAATTGTCTTGGAAACGATTATAAAAACAAATATCCGAGCTAAACATTTTAGTTCACTTTTGTTTCATTAACCTTCACTCTTTGCCTTGCTGTCTTCTTTTTAGCGGCCTGTACTCGGCGGAGGTTGCTCTCTTTAAGTTTTTTGTTGGCCGATATTTTCAAAGCTTTAGCCAGCTTGTCGGGTTTGAAGCGTCTATCCCCTGGGCACACCACCACGGGCAGACAACAGCTGGGGTACAGCCCGACCCTGTCTGACTCTAGGTAACACTTTTTCCTGTTGTACTGGATGTGCGCTATCCCGCAGCTGCGGCAGTAGAGAGACAAGACATGCTTTCATTGTTTATTAGGGATAGGTGAAGTAGAGTTATAACACATCGACACTAATGTTTAAAATCCTCACCCACTACAGACCAATGAGTTTGATGTCTTTAAATAGCGAATTTTTAGGCGTATAATGTAAAGTACCCTTTCGAACCTGACGGTTCATTGGCAAGGGGAAGTAGAGTTCACCTGTTTCAGTGACCTCGGCATGTGAAGAGATGGTGTGGTGGTCAGCACAATGCCCAGCCGCCTTTACTTTCTTAAGAGTTAGGTATCCATTAGGGCTGAGTAGACTCAGGGCAGTTCGGCTTACTTGAACCCGGATTCGAACTCGAGACTCATTATCCAAGACTTACCTTTGACATTCAAAGCCGCCGTTGTAACAGAAACATTTAATACAGCCAGGTTCGTACCACGATCCGCCTGGCTTGACCCCATTGGAACAAGGACCTGGTCAGGAATGCGACAAGTTTTAACGCTGATACAATTACTATAATAGTACGTTCAGAGGCGTCGCGAGGCGGGGTGACAACATTTTGTGGGTTGTCACCGAGACAATAAATTGCAAGATTTATAGCATAAATAAGTTGTTTTAGCCAGTTTAATTAATGGTTAATAAGAGTTAAAAAGTATTTTACATACATAATTACGATAACCGACAACGAAGGGAAGGGGAGAGGGTGACACCATGATGTAAACATACAAACTATAGAGAAAATAATGCTACACCCAGCTGTATTTACAACCGACTATTGATAAACATCATTAATATTAAATGTGAACACTTTAAAGCTTTTATCAGTGGGGGGGGGGGGGGTGACACAACTGCAAAATGTACAGATAAAATTAAGGGGGGGGGGGGGTCTCACCGTGAGCTGCCGCACCGAGTGACGCCACTGAGTACTTTTGACATAAAATCTAATAATATCCATACTTTGTGCAAGATTGCAAATACAAATTATAGGTTAAATCTATACATTTCCCATATCTATACACTACTAAAACTCAGGTTTGTTTACTATTCATTTATTCATTTATTCATTTATTTATTTATTTGTTTGTTTGTTTATTTGTTTATTTGTTTGTCTGTTTGGTTACATGAGAGAATCTGGACTATGTGTAGAGCTGTAAAATACGTAATTAGGTAGAGAATAATGTTCTTTTTGACATAACTATTAGTCACAAATTTATTTAAAGGCGTTAATTAATTTATTGATATATTCATTGGTAGATACATTACTTTAATTATAAAAGTTCAGAACAATGACTTTGCTTATAGTAACGTCACGTGATTTATTTACTTTTTATAACAGTAATGGGGGCTCCCATCGAATATTTTGTTGCCCATTTAAAAGTTTAACGCATTATATAGGTAATTTTCTGTCGGCTATAGCTTTAACGATACGTCCGTTTGCTTTTTAGCGCAATTTCCATTCTGGAGAATTGCGTTTATTAACCCGTCATTTCTGGATGTATGAATGGATGGATGGGTGTCCGCAGCTTTAAGTCGTATCTCCTCCTCAACGAAGCAATATCGATGACTAGTTCCAAAAGCAATTATGTTAAGCATGTTACGAGGATGAGCATAGGCCATAAAAATTCCGGGCTTCTTTCATGGATTTCCCGGAAAAGCCAAAATTTTGGCCCATATCTCGGCAACCAGACCACTTAGCGACTTGAAACATGTACCAATCGATTCCTGCCATAATTTAGAACAATATTGCCGAAGAAAGTTTTCAAAAATATCCTTTCGTTCGGTCCGTCGAGCCCTACTTCCATGTGCATGGTTTTGTATTATCTATTTTAGCTCATTTTATAATAACTACATTGTTTCTAACCCATAAATATATGTGTAATAAATATGTTTAAGTTTTAAAAGTATAATAAATAAAATTGTACTATTGCAGTAAATTTGTGTTTTTAAGTAACTTATAGTTATTATTTTACTACAGGCCGTATACTGCGGGCATTGAGTTGACCCGTAGTCATCGGACCTGATATAGTATTTTATACACCGGCCGTAAACCCTTGCCAGAGTCAAGAGGTCATCGGACCAGGTTGTTATTACTTTAAGGCTGTAAACTGCGCACATTGAATTGTAGCGTAGTCATCAGACCTTCAGCTCGCCACTATTAAGTTTACTTATTACTATTACTGCATTAACTGCTGAAACTTTATTATTACTTTACCCTGTCCATGTTCACGTGACAGTTGAATACACATTTAAAAATACATTTACTATATTCCCGGTAGAGAAGCGGCTCAGACCCTCTTACCGGTTGAATTTATCCATTTTACTGATTATCACTATTATATCTATACCGTATACATTCTATTACCGTTAACATCCCAGAAGAGAATTATATATATAAGATTGTGTCAGGGGAGGTAATTTTTTAAAAAAATTCAACTCACGCTAATTAAAAAAATGTAAATGCAAATTCCGCAGACGTGAATTATTGATGGAATATTATAATTAGCAACAGCCCGCAGATGGCATGGCATGATCGAATGGCAGAACGATCGGTCTGGAGTTCGGATCTCGGTTCGGACTTGTGACTGTTGTACGTTCCTAAGTCCACCCAGCTCTGAGGGGGACCTGACTAGCGTTGGGTAAAATAAAGGCGGATCGGCATAGTACCAACCACATTATCCCTTTTGTATGCCGAGGTCGGGAGACATACGAAGTATATTTCATCGTATTGCTAGTTAGAAGAACATTACTTACCTGCAGAGAAAGAAACACCGGCCAGACCTGTAGTAAGAATCGTCACAAAAACCAAAGCAACCTGCATTAAGATTCCCATTCTGCACACACCCACTGCCGTAATCGGTATTCCAAAAACTAAACTTCATGCGTTAGCTATACTGGTTTTATACACCCTGCACAAAGAGCAATTTAACTAATTGGTGTAATTTTAAACCCATTCATGGTAACATTCCAATCAAGCACTAGGCGGCGTATTTTTGCGTGGTTTGACCTATTACAAATAGAAACGTTGACGTTGATACTTAGCTTATTTACTTTACGTTTATGTTTTTTTAATATTTTCTGTTGCATTCGCTTTGTTTTAGAAAGCAAACACCGTCTAATAATAATAAATCATTTTACCTTCGTGGGATATTTCAGGGTTTTTCCTAACTTCAACAGTTTAGCATTTCTGCTGTTGTTGCTAAAACCGACCGTAAACATTATAATAATCCTAGTCTTAGCCTGAATACAATTTTAGAATTACGGTACCTGTGATAGATGTCTTAAGGTAACCTGTGCTAAACAAGACCCTTAATATAGTACGAACGATAAGACGACGTATAACCCTGAACTCAGCAATATTTCAGGTACTACCCGTGTAGTATCTAAGGGTGTCATTAGATATTCATCGATTCATTAACTATAATTAGCTATATATCGGATGCAAGATGTAGAAATGCATAAAGAACAAATAAACATATTTTAATTTAATATATGATACCGGCAAAGTGTAAAATTCGGCATGCCATAGAATTCCTAGGTAATGTATACAATGCCTAAAATGGGCAGGCAAAGTATGAAATGCATCTATATTCATACATGTCCAAGTCATTCTATAGAATGCTCATTAACAAACAGGCAAAGTGTAGAATACCCTTTGTTCATGTATTACACTTGACGATGACAATACTTGAAGATAACTAAACTAAACTTGCACTACGACTAACCTAAACGACAACCATAGGATCGATGATTAACACAACTGACTATTCTAACTTTTCCCTGTTGTATACCAGCTAATCTAAGTCCTACAATAAATGTCACATCTCTCCCAATAGCTACTATTCTACATAAGTTTTCAATTATTGACGATTCATACAAAATATACAACACAAACAGATTATGGATTAAAGTTTGTGAGCTATATCAGAAAGAAAAAAAAAACAAAGAGGTTTAAAGAAAGTCATTGTAGTCTTTCTTCTTCTACTTTTTCTGCGTTTTTAATTTAGTTTATGGTGGAGATTTAAACAAGTCCAACTTCGTGTATGAACTGGCATTGTAGTAAAGCTTATGGTATTTTCCTATTTTAATTCGCTATGCCGGGTGGGTCTAATTGACTATCAATCCGACCCTGACTAGGACTACAAGGTTATTATAGTGTACCAAGTATACCATGCGATGGCGTAGTGGAGGTTACAAACCCCCCCCCCCCCATGGACCTCTCTGTAAAACCATTTTACTGTCATAATACCACTGTACTTATTTAAATCTATTTCTGATTCAGTATATATGTATAATTGTATATGTATGTTTAGAACAGTCATCTAAAAAGTGACGCTTTGTTCACTCTGAGTTTGTTATCCCTCCCTCTCCACTGCACCACATAAAATTGGACAGGCTGTAATTGTGCTGAGCGACACTAATGGTACACCTAGGTATACACTGGGTAGGATAACTGACCTAAAGTAACCGGACAATGGTAAAGAAGTTGAACCTCCCCCCCCCCCCCTAACCCACCCTAAACTGATCTGTTAAGTACAATTTGGAAAATGCGTAATGAGGTACCAAAGTACAATGCCGCAAAAATCATAGCTTTAGAAACAGTTAAGTTACCAGTAAATAGGTGTGTGATCAATACAGCGATCTAACCAATTGAACACTTCTGAAGCATAATAGCTATTGGGAGAGTAGTGACATATATTGTAGGACTTTTATATTAGGGGTATACGACAGGGAAAATGTTTTTTAAATGAGAGAGCTTTACGAAGATAAACACGCATTAAAAGGTAGACATGCGTTCAAGCACTAAAAATAAGAAAATGAACATCCACTCTCTTTACCCTTAAATAATGTCATTAATAGAACTAGTGGACAAAACTGTAAAAACTTTTGACAACGTGATATCTTCACATACGTGAGTTTTATTGTTCAATAAAGAAGCTAAATATTAATTGTCTTGGAAACGATTACGAAAACAAACATCCTCGCTATACATTTTAGTTCACTTCTGTTTCATCAACCTTCACTCTTGCTGGTTGTTTTTTTCGTTCCCTGTACTCGGCGGTGATTGCTCTCTTTGAGTTTTTTGCCGGCCAATTTTTTCACAGCTTTGGCCATCTTGGCGCGGCTGAAGCGTCTGTCACCTAGGCACACCACTTCACGCTTACAGCAGCCGGGGTACGTCGCGTCCTTGTTGGTGTCCATGTAGCACTTCTTCCTGTCGTACACGATTAGTATACTATCGCAGCTGCGGCAGTAGAGAAAGACAACACATGCTTCAATTGTTTATTTAGGAAAGGTGAAGTAGAGTTATAGCACATTGCCACTAGAGTTTAAAATCCTCTCGCTCCCAATACACACCTTTAAGCATAATGTCATTTAACAGCGAATTTTTAGGCGTATAAAGTAAAGTATTTTTCGAACATGTAGGTCAATGGGACTGGTGAAGTAGAGTTTACCTGTTTCAATGAACTAAATATTTGAAGGGATAGTGTGGCCAGCACTATACCCAACCGCCTTTGCTTTCCCTAACGTGAGTTAAATACCCACCAGGGTTGGGTGGACTCAGGGCCGTTCTACTTACTTAAACCAGGATTCGAACTCGATACTCATTATCCAAGACTTACCTTAGACAATTAAAGCCGCCCTTGTTACAGTAGCATTTAATACAGCCAGGTTGGTGCCAATATCCGCCTGGCTTGACCCCATTGGAACAAGGACCTGGTCAGGAAGGCAACCAACGTTTAACACTACTACAATAGTATCTTTGACATAAAATTTAATAATTTCCATAAGTTGTGCGAAAATACAACTTAAGAGTAACAAACATTAAATCTCTACATATCCTAGTTGAAAAAAAAACAAAGTTTTATATATATATATATATATATATATATATATATATATATATATATATATATATATATATATATATATATATATATATATATATGCATGCATATAAGTGTTTGAGTGTAAATTACACCGATTATAAAAAGAAAAAGAATATGCTTACATTTAAAACGAAGTTATTTAAAGTCATTTTGTGTGTTTTTAAAAGCGCTATCGTTAACCTAACATTGATTTATAACCTACTAGCCGTCCCGGCCAGGCCCTGTTCTGGCTTCTGTGAAAAACCTTTCTGTTAAAGACCATTACCTGTGTGTTTAGTAATCATCATAAACCCGGCATTGCCCACCCAAACCACAACCAACCAAAACAACAAAACGCAAACATAACGCTAACACAATTACAAATACAAACGAAAACAAAAACCTAACAACAAACCCAACCACAACCACAAACACCAATACAAACACAAAGAAAAAACAAACAAAAAAGCAAACGAAAACAAAAACCTAACAACAAACCCAACCACAAACACCAATACCAACAAAAAAAATCAACGAAAAAAGCAAACGAAAACAAACCAAATCCAAACGCAAAACCAACCAAAAACACAAATACAAACCCAAACAAAAAAACACAAACAAAAACGAAAAAAGAAAGAACAAAAACGAACCAAATCAAAACGCAACCACTAACGCAAACCCACCTAAACACAAAGAAAACACTAACGCGAACATAAACGCCCGGGGCGGAATCACCTGTTTTAGCTTAATGAACGACTATAGTACCCCAACTTATTCATAGTCTTTTGCACTCACTTAAACGAACGCGCCTGTTTCAATTTGATGAACAATTTTAATACTCCAAGCTTATCCGTAAAATACCTACAACATTTGCACTTGATCAATCCCCGCTAATTATGTAATTATTTTTTTTTTCCCAACACCAAAACAAAGTAATTAAAAAGTAAATACTTTTCCACAAAATGCAATTGTTTTATAAAGGGAAGTAATTGTGTTTTTCCTAATTTATCAAAGGGAAGTAAGTGATATAGGACTAAATAAAGACATAATTAGAATTTTTGTAAAAGATGATATTTTTTTTAAAACTTGTGTTTAATGAACATGCCGATAATTATTACTATAATTTGAAAAATGAAAATTATTTCCCAACACTTTCAATAGTAATTTGTTAGCTCATAAATTTAGACAAATGCGCACGATAATTTTCTAACTTTTAAATTCGTACACTTCCAACGACATACAAATGCATTACATACAGAACTGAGCTTTATATATTAGATGCTCTGTTTCTAGCGTTGAGCACACACGCAGCAGTGTTTCTTCCAGACTTTTTTCTCCGGGGGGGGCACTTGAAATCTTCGGGGGGGCGGTAAACTTTCTTCGGGGGGGGCGGACACTGTTAAAAGTATATATTTTCTATATAAATTATATAAATTTCATTTCGTTCGGGGGGGCGGTAAAAATTTTTCGGGGGGGCTTCGCCCCCCCGAAGAGATGCCTGGAAGAAACTCTGACACGCAGTAATCTCTAAACTTTACCAATGCAACAGCGTACAGATGGCATGGCATGGTAGAGCATTCGGCTGCAAGCCCGAAGATCTCAAGTTTGGATCTCGGTTCGGACTTGTGACTATAGTTAGTTCCTTAGTCCACCCAGCTCTGATGGGTAACTGACTAGCGTTGGGGAAAATAAACGCGGATGTGGGCCTAGTTCTGTCCACATTATCAATTTCATATGCCGAACTCAAGAAACATATGAACCATACTTCATCTGCTCAATGTATCGCTAGGTCTAAAGAGGGACATTATTTACCTGCAGTGAAAGAAACAGCGGCCAGTACTGTAGCAAGAATCGTCACAAAAACCAAAGCAATCTGCATTAAGATCCTCATTCTGCACACACACCCACTGCCTCAATTGGTATTCAAAATACTAAACTTAGTGAGTTAGCTATCCTAGTTTTATAGGCTACTCCCCGTACAAAGAGAAACTGCAACTGAACTAATTGGAGTAATTTAAAACCCATTCTTTGTAACATTCAAGCAGTAGGTGGTCTATTTTTGCGTTGTTTAACCTATTACAAATCGAAACGTTAACGTTGATACTTAGCTTATTTACCTTATGTTTTTTATATGTTTGGTTGCATTCGCTTTTTTTTTTAGAAAGCAAACACCGTCTAATTATAATAAAAAAAATGTTTACCTTCGTGGGATAGTTCGGTGTTTCTCCTAACTTTCACAGTTTATTTATTTCTGCTGTTGTTTCTGTCAGTGACCGCAATTTTTATAATAATCCTAGACCTGAATACAATTTCAGACTTACGATAGCTGGAGAGATCTCTTAAGGTAACCTATGCTAAAATTGACCCTTAATATAATACGAAAGATAAGGCGACGTATAACCCTTAACCGCGTATCGGCAATATTTCGGGTGCTACCCTGTGTAGTATCTAAGGGTGTCGTTAGATACTCATCGATTCATTAACTATAATTAGCTATGTATCGGATGAAAGGTGTAGATATTCATAAAGGTCAAACAAACATCCTTTAATTTAATATGTTACCTGCAAAGTGTAAAATTCGGCATGCTATAGAATTCCTAGGTAATGTATACAATGCCTAAAATGGGCAGGCAAAGTATAAAATACATCAATATTTAATACATTCAAACATACATTCAAACAGGCAAAGTGTAGAATACGCTTTGTTCATTTTTTGTACTTAAAAATACATAATCTTGACGATGACAAAACTTGACGATAACTTCACGATAACTGAACTAAGGGGTCGTCCATAAATGACGTCACACTCACAGGGGAGAGGGGGGGGGGGCCGTAATTTTGTGACGGTGTGTGACGAGGGGGAGGGAGGGGGGTTCAGATGGTGCGACGTCACACTTTTGCATTATAATAAAGCAATGTTAGAAAACTAATTATGGACGTTATTTCGCGTTTTAGAAAACTGTTTTAATAAATTGCAATAGAAATCTATTTAAGGACTCTATTTTGACAGAGTTCAGACAAAATTTTGGAAAAATATCGATGTTTTAAGAAAAATTGAACTACGATTTTGAGGGGGGTTGTATGTTGAGGTGTGACGTCATTTTAGGGGGCTTTTTGTGACGATGTGTGACGGAGGGAAAGGGGGGGGGAGAGGTAAAAATCGACAAAAAAGCGTGACGTCATTTATGGATGACCCCTAAACGACAACCATAGGATCGATGATTAACACAACTGACTATTCTAACTTTTCCCTGTCGTATACTAGCTAATCTAAGTTCTACAATATATGTCACTTCTCTCACAGTACCTACTATGCTACAGAAGTTTTCACCTGTTTCTGTGAATTAGGCATATGAAGAGATAGTGTGGTCAGCACTAAACCCAGCCACCTTTACTTACCCTAACGTGAGTTAGGTACTCATCAGAGCTGGGAGGACTCAAGGACGGTCTACCCGGATTCGAACTCGACAACTTACGGGTTAGCAGTCAGGCTCTCTACTTCTATATAACTCCGCCCCTATGGTGTTAACTGGTTTTAATTTGCCTTGCCATTAGATCAATCGTTTTTCAATCCCCCACAGACAAGGAATACAAGGTTTTTATAGCGTGCCAAGATAATCTCACCAAGTTTGTGGTTCGCAGGCCACTAAAAACAAAGACAGCGATAGAAGTAGCTCACAACTTGATAGACATATTCACCTTGATTGGTGCACCATCGTTTTACAGTCCGATAACGGTCGGGGAATTTGCGAATAAAGTTGTCCTCGGCCTTAATGTATATTGGCCCACTTTGAAAATTGTATGCACACGTACACGTACATGCGCATGCACACATACACGTCCATGCACACGCCCACGTACACGCAAACGTACTCGTACACGTACACGCACACGTACACGCAATCGTACATGCACACTCACATGTATACATACACGCACACATTGTAGTCAAGTCACCCTAATTATTCATTACTTGGGACAGTGTATAATTGTTGCGTTTGAAATCCTCAGTTGCGATCCAGGCTTTTCAACTGTGACAGCTGCTTTCTTAGAAATTAATTAGGCACAATTTTCTTTTGATTGATAAACTTGTCATGGATACATACGAGTAATACCGTAGCTGTAGCAGTTTTTTCAATCTTTCACAACCCTTCCATATGACTGTTTGTTACTAAACACTTTTGCAAAGAATTTAAAAACTAAAAGTGTTAGCTAAATTACTTTTATATTGCTGGTTATTATTTGTTTAAATATTTATAGCCTCAATAAAACCGGAAGTCATTTTGTACTTATTTCTCAAATTTTATAAATAATTCCAATTTTAGTTGAAAAATATGCTTATTAGCAACAACCATTTTGGGACCAGCTTTTAAAGCCTATTGTTTCTGTGCAGTATCTAAAAATGTTAGAACCTGCTCTTGAGCAATAGATAATTTTACTCTCGTGGTCCACTGTGTCACAGAAAACAGAAAATATTCTGGATGAGATAGTAAATTTGTAGCAGGAATAATGAAACATTTTAAATTGCTGCACTAAGTTAATCACAAAATAAAATAGGCTGACACGTTTAAATTAAAGGTGTTCGTTATCTTTTTAACTGGTAATTAACTCTAATTACAAATGATTATTAATTTTCATAAACTTCAAAACATGGCGTTCGCCTGATTGCGCCTGTAGCCTGACTTCTACATCTTGACAGCAGTAATAAATGGAGTAAATTTTAAAATTGTAATGTTTTTAATTGTAACTCTAAGTGTTATGCTAACAACGAAATTCCTACACACTTATTTACAAGTACTGAATACCAACATGCAGAGGCTTAACTACTGATCCCGGCACCTCTGGCAAGCAAATAATTTTGCGCCCCCTCCCGCCCATTTTAAGCTATTGTTTTTCGTTGGTGAAAAAGGGTCCCCCCTTTCTCTCCCCCCCCCCCCCCCCCCCCACTCAGTTGGAAAATGTTTTGTTGCGCTTTTTTTACCAGTCACAATCTCGTAAGGTTTGTATATGGTGGTACCACGCAAATTATGTAGAAAACAGTTCAATCAGTGTGTAAAGTCATGTAGACGTTTACTTTCCTAACGTTGACAGTGTATGATTCAATACCTCAGCTTTTAAAAAAATGCCATCCCTGTTGGCGTCCCCATACGATCGGTACCCGGGGCGGCAGCCCCACCCACCCTCCCCTAGCTACGCGACTGACAATATATAAGTTTTATATGATCAAACCCGAAATTTGAATGTATTGGTTCATTAGTTAATTGTTAGTTACAAGTTGGGGAAAGGGCGGGGAAAACTCGATTGCTTTGTAATTGTTTATTTATCATTTAATTAAAAAAAAAATTTGCAAGAAGGTAGAAATTCGTATTAATCGGACCGACATTTTTTTTTTTCAAATTAAGAGCTTTAAAGATATTCATAACTAATATTCATTGTTTGTAACCGCATTTAAAAATATATGATTGAAATGCAAAGTTATTTTCTCTTTTAATTATAACATATATTTAACTTAAACTAATACAAAATCCAGTTGTTATGCATAAACTAGATTCAAATATTATAAAAAAGTTTGATGTTTATTAATAAAATAATACCTTATTTCTATGTAACTTTTATTTTAACGAATCTAATATATTAACTACTGGTTAGCTACCTTGCGTTAAGAATTCAATATTATTATTTTTATTAACTTTAAAAACAATTATTCTCAACACTAAACACGTAATGTTTTTTTTAAAGTGAGACAGTTTTACGAACATAAACACGCATTAAAAGGTAGACATGCGATCCAGCACTAAAAATAAGAAAATGAACATTCACTTTCTTTACCCTTAAATAATGCCATTAATAGAACTAGTGGACGAAACCGTAAAAACTTTTGACAACGTGATTTTTTCACATATGAGAGTTTTATTGTTTTACAAAAAAAAAAGTTAAACTTTAATTGTCTTGGAAACGATTATGAAAACAAATATCCTAGCCAGAGGCGTAGCGAGGGGGGGGGGGGGTGAGGGGGGGGGGCGGGGGGTGTATACCCAGTGTATACCTAGGTGCAGGGGCGTAGCCAGGGGGGGGCGGGGGGTGCGGACCGCACCGGGTGACACCATTTAGGGGGGTGACACCAAGGCAAAAAATAGCAAAATATATAGAGAAAAACTTGAGGGGGGGGGGGGGTGAAAATCGAAAGTTTGAGGGGGGGGGGGGGGTGCAAATCCAAAACTTGAGGGGGGTGCAAATCGAAAGTTTAAGGGGTGGGGGTGCAAATCGAAAACTTAAGGGGGGTGCAAATCGAAAATTTGAAAGTTTGTCCCCGAGAAGGGTCGCTACGCCTTTGGGGGGTGACACCATTAAGTGCCGCACCGGGTGACACCCGACCTCGCTACGCCACTGATCCTAGCTATACATTTTAGTTCACTTCTGTTTCATCAACCTTCACTCTTGCTGGTTGTTTTTTTCGTTCCCTGTACTCGGCGGAGGTTGCTCTCTTTGAGTTTTTTGCCGGCCAATGTTTTCACAGCTTTAGCCAGCTTGGCGCGATTGAAGCGTCTGTCCCCTCGGCACACCACCGTGGGCATACAGCAGCTGGGGTACAGGCCGCCCTCTAGGTAACACTTTTTCCTGTTGTACCGGATTTGCATACTCCCGCAGCTGAGAAAGACAAAACAAGCTTCAATTGTTTATTTGGGATAGGTGAAGTAGAGTTATAACATCGCTAATAATGTTTAACATCCTCTCCCACTACAGACCGATGAGCATCAGCGAATTTTGAGGCGTTTAATGTAAAGTACCCTTTCGAACCTGACAGTCCAATTGCAAGGGGAAGTAGAGTTTACCCGTTTCAGTGACCTCGATATATGAAGGGATAATGTGGTCAGCACTATACCTAACCACCTTTGTTTTACCTAACGTGAGTTAAATACCCATCATGGCTGGGTGGAATC